AAACATGCATTGTAGATAATAAGAAACTTATGGACTTGGGTGCAAAGTCTAGTACTACAACTTCTAAACCCGTACACTTTGCACACTTGTATAGTAAAACTTATAAATGCTCCATTTGTGGTCGAAAAGGCCATTTAGCTAAGTTTTGCTATGATGCACAAAAACATAAGAATATTAATTCTTCTTGTGCATCTCATAAGGCTTCTTCTTCATCACATGTACACACACATGCACCCATTGTTCATCATAAGCATGCTAATGTGTATCATTGTGATTTTTGTGGTAGAGTTGGTCACTTAGCCAAGTTTTGTTTTGATTTGCGAAAAGTTTCTAAATCGCAAAATATTTCAAGTAGACCAACATTATTTCAAAATGTTTCTCATTTGCAAAATAATTTTAAAAGACCATCTTTATTTGCAAATGTTCCTCGTGCACATCCACATGGTCAACATAACCAAATGCATCCTCTTCATTGCACTTATTTCAATCGAATGGGTCATTTGCATAATTATTGCTATGACCGGACCCGTGCACTAAATGCGCCCAAATGGGTTCATAACCCTAGGGTTTTGAGCTTGAATGATAGGGGTCATGTCCCTAAATCGTTTGGTACCAAGAGTTCTTGGGTACCAAAACAAATTTAATTTTTATACCAAGAATTTTAGTGTTTTTCTTTATTCTTTTTCTTGGTTTTGAAAAATTATACTTTAAACTTTTGAATATGAAAATAATTTTTTAAATTCTTTTGTTTTCATGGTTATTGGTTTTGTTTTGATGAGAGGTTTATGTTTATATAACCCCCCGGATTTATTGGGTGTTTATTCCCAAATCATGTTTATCGGATGCTTAAATGATTATATGGAGCTCAAGAGCTTGATATAATTGTTGCCTCTCTTAAAAATTGTGTTTTGATTTGTTGCTTTTGAATTCATTATAATTCACTTATATGATGATATTTATGTGTTTGTGCTAATGGATCATCTATTCGTGCTTTATAATGTATTCTATGAGTGGTTTGATCAAGTTATGTAAAGAAAAATTTTCTTTATTGATCAAACATTGTTTTTGAATATAAACTTTGATTTATGATTTCTTTTGGTTGGATTTGTTTTCATTTGAAAACCTTTTGCATGATTCTCATGTTCCTCTTCTTTTGATTTCATAAATCTATTCTTTTATATGGTTTTTATTTTTTTTTTGTTAATGAGACACTATTTTCATATTGACATATTTATATGTGTTCTCATTATCTTCATGTATGTGAGTAAATTTTTAGCATATTCATGTATGCTTGCTCACATATGTTTTGCCATGATCTTCATCGCATATTATCTATATGGATTTTTGATAGGGGGAGCAATCCCTATATCTTTCTATGTGTTATACTCACCCATGCATATTGTTAGGGGGAGCTTTCGCTCTCTTATTCTTTTTGTCCCCTTTTTGATGTTGTCAAAGGGGGAGAAATATTGTGAGTATAGTCCTTTTTGTTTATATGCATAATATATTATACTTTGTATATTCATTTCCTTTCATGCATATATATTTTTTGTAAATTGTTTGTCATCATCAAAAAGGGGGAGATTGTTGGCCTCTTTGTTTTGATGATGTTTAACAAACAATTTACCACTAATGTTGTTTGTCTAGTATTTGTGTTTTTCTATATATTGTAGACAAACAACGTTGTTGGAGGATAGCCTTGCTATTCAAAGTTCAAGATCCAAGTTAAAGCTTCATCCGCGAGATTACCTAGAAGAGCTTATTGAAGATCAAGATCTAGCTTGGGTAATCTAGTATAGTTTTTATATTATGTGTGTTAAGTACTTTAAGCTCAATCATATACACACATACACGCTTTTGGTTTTTGGTTTTGTATATATATAGTTATATATATACATATATGTTTTTGGTTTAATAGTTTTCGAGTTTATATATGAAACAAATGAATAGAATTGGAAAATACTATTTTGTTTTATGTTTATATGCCTATATATGATTTCATCTTTAACAAGTTTATATTTAATGAAATCATATTTAGTGTTTTTGAAAATATTGCATAGAATATGCAATTTTATGAAAATATTATATTTCTAGGTTATAGACTTCATAACAACACGTTATATCTTTTATCAAGTCTATACAATCATTTCATAAGGTTTCAAAATGTTGTTTAAGTCAAAATATCAAAATATCAATTTTCAGGTTTTCATGTTTTTGAACTATTTTGCAAAATGATGATATTTTTTATTTGAGAAGTCCTTTCTGATAACCAGTCGCTGTAGCATGATTATTATCATGTCTACAATCATTCTCCAAAGTTTTACATTTTTTAGAATTTATTTGATATTTTTAAACAGCGTTTTAAAATCAGATATACAGTTTTTGAGTATCAGTTTTCGGTCGACCGAACCGGTCGACCGAACCTGAGGTCAAATGTTCACTGGGCGACAGAAAGTCTGTCGGTCGACCGGTCCGGTCGACCGATGGAAATTTTCGGTCGACCGATGAATTTTCCGGTCGACTGACGATGTTGTTTTCAGCTTCCAACGGCTAGTTTTTTGACCGTTGCCTTGGGGCTGTTTTGTCTTTTTGCTTGGGGTTTTTTAGTTTTTTGACCGTTGCCTTGGGGCTGTTTTGTCTTTTTGCTTGGGGTTTTTTGGCTGAGTTGTGAGAGAGTATAAATACCCTATTACCTTCAACTCTCAAGCCAACTAAGAGAGTTTTAAAACAAGTTTAAGAGAGTTTTGTTTAAGGGCTTAATGTTTGTTTAGAAGCTTTTAAGCATTTACAAGAGTTTGAGTTTGTGAATTCAATTTCACAAGAGCAAGTTTGAGAACAATCATTTGTCATATTTGTGCTTATTGTGAGAATCACTTTGTAATACACTTGTACACCGAGTGAGGAGTGTGTGGTGAGAGTCGGGGATCGTCCCAAGAGGAGTGGCGTCGGTTGACGTGCCTAGGGAGAGGTTGTAACCGAGCACTTGAGGGAGACACGGCTAGGTCCAACACTTAGTGGGTGTAGAGTGTGATTGCAAGAGTGTGAGTTGTAGAGTTTTCGGTTAGCTAGAAAACCGAGTGTGTAGAAGAAGTTCCGGCTTCCAAACCGGGTTGTGTTAGTGGATTTCTCCCCGGGAGTGGGGAGCGGAGACGTAGGACGGAAGGTCCGAACTCCGTGATCATATTGCTTGTTTGAGTGTGCTTTGGCGTTCATTCATATTTATGTTCATATCTTATATCACCATTGTCATTAGCTCATTATCTATATCATCCACTATCTTATTTAGATTATTTACCCTTGTGTTGTTTATATATCCTTGCATATATCTCTATCATATAGTATACCTCTTTGCTAGGATATATCACATTGTGTATATTGTATATTCTTGCACATAACTCTTGGTATATCTATCTTGCAAGAATATATTTGTTAATTAATTTTAATTAGTATTTAATTGGATTAGATTAGCATAAGACCCTAATTATCCCCCCTCTAGGGTCTAACATAGAGAGGATTGAGAGGTTGTTCTCGATTCTAGTGAGATTGTGGGGAGAGATTTGTAATAATTGATTCTTCATAATCTAGAGAAGGTATTTTCCTTCGCCATACTGAATTGTTCTTGTATTTTAGTTGTCTTCTTTTCAACCTACCTTTTGGTAATTCCGCGACCAAAAGGTGCTCGCACGGCGACTCGTATCATAGTAAGAAAATCCAACCTTTTTTCATGACGAATAACGTATGTATTTATAGAGGATGCCAAGGGTCGAATAGGCATCTAGTGAGAATGCGGTTTATGATGATGGCGAGAGGTGAGCTAGAGGCTGAGTCACCTTCTGCCCGATATGTGTCGATTGGCGAGTGATGGGAGGTCACTTCAGTGACATGGGGAATTAGCAGCCGTCGAGGTTTGTCAGCGAGTGACGTGGAGTCACTTCTGTGTTATGGGGATCCTGCAGCCATCGAGGCTTGTCGGCGAGTGACGTGGAGTCACTTCTGTGGTATGGGGATTCTGCAGGGGCGACGTGGAGTTGCTTCTGTTGTATGGAGATTCTACAGCCATCGAGGCTTGGCAACATGCAACGTGGAATTGTAGTGATGATCATAAATGGTAAAATAATGCTGAGAAGTAATGTTCTGAGTCGCCCTCGGGGGAAGTGTCGGCTGATCGCTGAGTAAAAATCTTTTGCTCGACTGAGCCCGCCTTTCGAGTCGTCTTTGGGGAATGAAGCCGGCTCGACTGAGTCTGTTCTCGGGATAACATATTTTATAAGAAACTGTAGGGAACACCCTATAACGTAAAAACAACTGAGTATACAAATGTTAAGTGGGTGAAACTATAAAGCATTTAAGTGCTATTTAGTAAGTAATAATAATAATAATAATAACTATATTATTCTCTCATACATTACTTCTACACTACACTACAAGAGCGAAATATATATGAGCTTTCATGAGATATTACTTTTGAAAAAAATTTTAAGAGAGCCGATCCCACACTTTTCTCTCGTATGTATCTAAAAGCAGCACGTAACTAGTGATCGTTAGTTACTACCACCACTGAAAACAGAGCAGTGATAGGGGGGAACTCAAAAAAAAAAGGGGAACGCGGAATCTTTGGCTGGCGAGTAGACGAGTTATCGCGAGATGATCTCGTCGCAGAAGTTTCTGAGAAGATCTTCTGCTGACGCGCACGCGGGACCCAAAGACCATGACAGAACCCCCCGTTCACACGCGAGCCCGACGCACTCCAGTGGCACAACAGCAATTAAAGCCAACACAAGGGCTTAACTGTCTCATCAAAACCCCCACAGCGAAATCAGCACGAATCTTGAAGCGCGAGGCGGAGACAGCCGTCACCCTGGATCCGGGAGTGTGGCGTGGCAGCCCTCTGCCTGCGGTGCCTGCGGGACTGCGCTCCGGTTAAATTCGCCAACCACGGTTAAAATTAACAAAGGAGCTACAGTTGAATAAGGCTCCTATATAAACCCCAGGGCTCTCTCCCCATTTTCGATGCCTTGGTTCGTTCTCTCCTCCAGCGATCGAGAGTTTCTCTCTCTACTCTCCAGCGCCGAGTTTTAGAGAGAGAGAGAGAGAGTCTGCAGGAAAATCGTTCGACGACGAGCTAAGGTCAGCAAAAAAGATCGAATCTTTCCTACTGGTTTCGTTCAGTTGAATCTCGAAACCCTTTTGTGGCGAGAATCGCGTTGAAGGAATCGGGTTCTTGTTGAGTATTTGGGGATTTTGGAATCGGAACCCTACCTCTGTCTTTTTGCTGAACTTGACTGAATCCACAGGGCTTTTGATTTGGTTGGTGTTTCTTGATACTTGGATCGAGTGATGTGTCCTCTGCCGCCGGATTCTTCGCCGCTTGACATCGGTGAGCAGTCGACCGATGAAGAAATCGTGCAGTTCTTGTGGGGGAGGAAAGTTGGGGATCCGATACCGTCGAATGTGATCACAGGAGTGAACCCTTTCAGCATCGACCCCCGAAGCTCTCCGGGTGAGCAAACATAATTTGTCATCGCAATTCTTTATATAGATGTTTGTATGAATTTTTATTATTTTGTGAGTTGGTCTGGGTGGAAAAAATTGCTAAATACATATATCTATTATAGTTTCTTCATGTTCTCACTTTAAAGTTTCGGACGAGTGAATTCGGATAGAGAAAATGGAGGGAGGAGATTCAAACAGAATAGTGCACTTTTATTTTGCTATTTAATATGTTTTTGAGGAACAAGGACAGGGGTCAGCCTGATTTTTATTGATACAGATGGGGAATTGTTTTCTCAATGTATGTCTGTAAATGGTAAAGAATGATATATTGCTTTCTCAGTGTTATGTCTGTAAACAGTAAAGATTGATATATTGTGTGGTTGAGCCCTCGTAGAAATTTGTTAGCTTGTCGAGTATCTGTGAATCTACCTCTTGGTCCTTAGCTTCTTTTCCCCTTTCTAAACGTGAATTGTTATTTGCTGTATTTTTTTTTTAGTAAACATCACTGGAGATAGGTTCATAAATAAATTACATTAAACCCCCCAAGAACTTTCACCGTTTTGTATAAACTTAAAAACTTTCAAAATCGAACTAAACCCCCTATAAATTTTGTAGAAAACATCCAACATCTTTTTGGTAAATTATACTAAACCCCAATAACTTTCAAAATGTCTTTTTATGTTGCTTTTGGTTCTAATTTATGGGTATCTACAAAATGCAGAAACTTATTAGGGTTTTTCTGCAAAATGCAAAAAGTTATTGGGGATTTAGTGTGATTTTGAAAGTTATTGGGGGTTTACGCAAAACGATGAAAGTTCTTGGGTGTTTAGTGTAATTTACCCTTTATTTTACTCTTTGCAATCTATATCCAAGCTCTATGCTGGAAATAAACATTTTGTGAGATCCTCACTACATTTAGAATAGGATAAAGTATCCACAGGGAGTAATTTTTTGAGAAAAGGTCATGTGGAAATAGTTAATCGGTGATGCTTATGTTGATTATGGCAGTTTGTCCATTTTTCCTTACCGTCCTCATCTTAGCTTTTGTTGTCAAATTTGGCTGGAACTTGGAAGAGGGCAAGATTTTGACTTCGAAAGAGCTGAAAATGAAATGGTGTAATTGATAAGTTTCACATGGGTAGTTACATTTATCTAGGCATAGACAGCCAAGTTCGAAGTTTTTTATATTGATGGAATTTCTGAAGCCAAAAGAAGGAACGTTATATTATTTTCACAGAAATTATATCATTTTCACAGAAAATTGACAAGTTGCAGCTTAGAAAAACTTCCTAAAGTTTGTGACTGGAATTTGATTTCAGGTTTTACATTTTTTAGGATTAGCAAATTACTCGGTTATATCAGCAGAAGGCCCGAGATTCCCTAGGGAAATTCTCTCAGTGTTCAGTACATAGGATGGCGAAAGATGCAATCTTATTTTGTGTGTTGGTGCCTGAGTACTCATTTTTAGTAATAAAACAGGAGATTTCCTTTTTTTTTGTGATTACACCAAACATCTCTTGCTTTAAGAGTTCTATCTTATTATCCTTTGTAGCAAATATCATGTATATTTTCCGTTTGAATGTGGTGCTCATTGATGAATATTGAATACTGTGACCATATGATCTTCTACAGGCTGGAGTTGAACTGACGAATGTCAGAGATGTTTTCTTTTCTTTTGCTTTCTTGAAGTAAATATACTGATAGTTTTCGGGAAGTTTTACTAGTTAATTAAAATGATTATACTTTTTCTAATCTAGTTTGGATAACAACTTTTATGGATGCAAGTTACAAATCTTACAGAAGATAAATGAGAACCTGATGATTTTTATTTGACGCTAAAGTGCATGTTACATGGGGCGTCTTGACACTATATCAGATACATTGATTCCAAGCTGCTCAGTTTTTTTCTTATACTTGTGTGCCTTGTGTGCCTTAGGTCCGTTTGTTTTGCTGCAAAAATTAAGTGCAGCAAATGTTGCAGAAAGAAATGTTGCATGCAACATTTGTTACTGGAAATCAACTTCAAATCCATTGTTTGGATATCTTGTTATCTACGGTCTTATTGTAGAAGATGTATTTCCGATATGAAGAATAACTGCAGGAGTTTGTTCATCAGGGTTATTTGGCAGTAAGTTATGTATATTTAAATAGAAAAAACAGTTGGGGTCAGTCAGTTAAGATGACAGTCACCTTAAGTTAAAAAGTATACTAATTTACTTTGCTTGAGACAGCATGTTCTCCAAATTGCAAAAATTCATGCTTTAAAGACACCTTGGGAATAATGCTTCTCACACATGTAGTACTGTTCTTCTGAATGACTTTCCTTACTCTTCTCTAAGAAACTTGAACCGTCTAGGTTTATTACGAAGATTACTATTTGTTAGTCAATTGTTGCAATCCATGTTTTATATGCCAAAAGAAATTCCTGGAGCTTTCTTCTGAACAATCAGTTATCAGACAGGGAAAATGCTCATATGTCTGTGCTTCTTGTGCAGAGGGTATTTGGTTTTTGTACACTTCAGAGGAGTCACAATCTCATAACGAAGGAGGCATTATCAAAGTAGTAAATGGATACTGGAGATCAATGGATGATTGCAGAATATTAGCTAGCACTCCCGCTGTAGGTAGGAAAACTACGAGGCAATTTTATGTAGGCCAAGCACCCTTCGGAGATCAAACCGGTTGGAAGATGCAAGAATATTTTGCAGATCAGATTGTTGCTCAGGTAATTAACTAGTATTAGGTATTTTTTTAGCTCTTGTATTGTGTCCCTACTGAGCTTGCATGCTATTTTTGTGAAATGTTAGTACACTAGAATTCATAAGTTATGAACTTGCATGCTTTACAGGACTGTAGCACTTTGTGTAGAATCTTCTTGCAAAATGATGAAGTGTTAGATACTGGTGAACAATATGACCCTGTGAATCCAGGTGATGCTGATGGTGAGTACATAGAAGCTGCGCTGCTGAGCCTTCTGGAACAAGATGATAGAAACTCTTCCAGGGATGGTGCTGTTGGATCCCAAGCAGAACAAAAATCTAGCCAGGTTAAAAACTTAACCATCATGATATTTGCCTTACATTTATTCTCAACTAAAATCATGTCTCTTAGGCTTTGTTTTGAATTTCATTCACCCCTCATTGCTTATTCAGTGGCTTGCATTAATTTGTATACAGGAATTTGGTGAAGAGTTTTGTTTTTAATATAGAAAACACATTATAAAATTATATCAATAATCACAATCTCTCAATATTATCTTTTTGAGAGAAAAAATAGACTCGAACTTGCCAATCCTAACCAAATATATTGATGAAATGATTGTTTACAAACTTGAAAAGATTACTCCCAACTCTGAAAGTATAGTCAGAATTATACAACCATGTTAGACTCCCAACCTAGATACTGTTATATAGGTGTATGTTCATACAACCATGTTAGATCCCAACCTAGATACTGTTATATAGGTGTATGTTCATACCAGGTTGTGGCCTGAATCAGAACTCCTTACTTCTTGTTTTACTGGATGCCTTCCCTTTCTTTGCTTGTGACTAGATGAGAAAACATCTCTTTAAACCATTTATCAACAAAAATGATTAGAAGATTGTCTCCATGAGCCTAATGGAGTCACAATTCAAATCGACTTAGCTGAAAAGCCTAGCCTAAAGCCAAACACTTTAGCCGGCACGAAGCGCGGAAGCAGTCGGCCTTTCGCCTTTAAGGCGACTACTCAGGAGTCCACCCAACTCCCAATCGAGACGATTCCCCCAGTGACGACTCGGCTGTCTACCGAGCTGTCTGACTAGGCTGACGACTCACTTATCTAGTCAAGTTACGAGAACGACCCGCCTTCCAATTCAATCCTGCTAGGGAAGATAAAGATCCGAGTCATCCAACTAAGCTATTTCCAAGACATACATCAGTCAACCACAATATTGAGCAGTCACATCAAAAGTCTCAAGCAAAAGTCTCAAGCTCTAACGAAGTCTTAAATACAAAGACGACTCATTCTATTCCCAAGTCACTTCTGAAACGTAATCAAGACACCCTCTGAGCTCAGACGACCTTTTCTCCAGTCGTCAGCTGTCATCTGTGAAGCAATTAGTGGTTAGATCGGTCAGCCTATCTTCCCTTTATCCTTATCCGTAAAACCTGGGACGTTATCGAGGCACCTTCTATACTCGAATGCCTCGCCCTCCAATCGCTAACCGCCATCTGTAAAGATAAGGACGACTCAGCACCTCGTCGTATTCTCGGCCATACGCCATCTAATCAATCCTGGGGCCTTATCGAGATCATCTCGAAATAGTATCCTCTCCAGTCGTCAGCCAACACGTGAAATGACTACTGCTGACTCAGCCTCCAGCTCATCCCCCACCCACGTCCTCAGACCCCTGATGAAGCCACGTGTCTATCCTCAACAACCTATAAAGAGGAAGAGGCTTTTTTGGACTGGAGGAGGTTGGATAAACTAAAAAGACTAAGAGGTCACTTTTTTCTTCAATTTGCTTCTAAATTCTAAAATGAGAAGGCACCCTGCATGGACCTCAATGGCCCAGAGACTTTCCCAAAAACCTCCCTCAAACTCATCCTCTAAGGGGCTGTTTGTTTGCCTAAAAAAAAAGAGGGAAATCAAAGAATAGGAAACCATTTCTTAGAAATTTTATTTTGAGGTTGTTTGGTTGGGAAAAAAAGGAAAATTAAAGAATAAGAGATGTGATGAAATGAGTTGTCGTCATATTATTGGATGATGTGAGTGATTTTTAAAGAAAACTTGTTTTGAGGTTGTTTGGTTGGCTAAAAAAAAAAGGAAATGTATTATGAGAAACCTATTTCTTATAATAGGTTCTTTTCTTATGTTTGGTTCATTCTTAAAAATAAGAAAATAGATAAGATGAGATGAGTTGTCATTATATTATTGGATGATGTGACCCACACTTAAGGAAATCATTTCCTTGTTTTTATGGAGGAAATGAGTGGAGATGAAAGTTTAAGGAGATGAGATGAGTTGTCATCATATTATTGGATGATGTGATTGATTTTTAAATATGAGATGAGATGAGATGAGATGAGTTGGATGATGTGATGATAAAAATAATATTTTATTAGATGTTGGATGATAAAAGTAATATTTTATTGGATGAGTTGAATGATAAAATAATATTTTATTAGATGAGTTGGATGATAAAATAATATTTTATTGAATGTTGTGGTAAGTTTTAGGAATGGAAATGGTTGAGAATAGGAAATGAGAGATTTCCATGCTCTCATTTCCTATTCTTGGTTTTTAGGAAACCAACCAAACAGCCCCTAACTTGACCGTCGGAGGTACCACAGGGAAAAACGCCCCGTACCCCGATGTTCCTTGTGTGTGCAGGCCATCAGTCCATCCCGTCCGCTCAGAGCTGGTATAACGTCGGGGGGGGGGAGTCGGCCCCTTTATCCTTTATTATCCTCCCTCGGCAGACAACCTCACCCCCATCAACTGTTTGTTCACGAGCATCAACAAAGAGGATAGAGGAGGGCATCCAGTTAGCAAATATACTGAAATTATAAGCTTTTCATGCCATGACATTGACACATCAGCGATATTTAACAGAAAATTTTAAAAGGAAGCTAGGCTGATGATGGGTGTAAAATTAGGGGCTTTCGCTGATAAATTCCAAACGTAAAAGGACTTGGATGATATTTGGCCATTACCTGAAGGACCTGTACTGAACTTTTCCCTTAAATAAAGGTTTCCCTGCGTAATAAATATCACAACCCAGATATAATCTCCATCACAAGGTAATATCTATAATAATATTGTCAGGTGATTATTTAGTCAATAGAAAATCCTTAGTTGACAACATAGTTATAACAGTTGCTTTTACTATAGTGCAGCACTGTGAGAATACTTAACCTACGTTGTTAATGGCTTAAGTTCGGCAAAAATCATAAAACTGATGTGTGGACACTTAACAAGGTATTTTTGTGGCTATCCTAAGTGGGTAGCGGTTCCAAAAGTTCGTTATCTTTGTTGAACTTGCCTCCTGCAAACAAATGCAGCTATATCGACCTGGTGAACAAAGGCTTAATAACTAAATAATATGAATTTAACAATCTTAAGTTATACAACATGAGAATGCATATATGGCAATGTCATAATATATGGAAATATGTCAAATCTTGAGAAACATTGTAGCACGATTACCCTTTTAAGCACAAATATCCTGCTTATACTTGAAACCTCCTATGTAATATAAATTCTGTTGTAGAGTTAAGCCATAACGTGACTTGTTTTTACTTAAATGTGGCTACGCATGAGCATTTCATCACCTATAGATGCACATTATATGCTCAACAAGCTATATAGATGCACATATATGCTCAA